TTTCGGAATGGACAGGCAATGACAAAGCCATGCATACTGGCAACTAAAATCATTGATAAGCCTTAACCACAATATGTCATAACTTTCCCCTGGTGGGAATATTAAGTGGGGTTCTGGGCCCTCTTTTCCATTCTCGGTCAGCCATATAAAGATCGAATAGATGTACAGGCTTTTTGTATCGTTATATCCTTTGTAAGGCTTGTGCACCATATTAGGTATGAAGGTGTCTTTAATATAGGCATGATCAATGCTCGTACCGGGATATATTGTTATGTCCTTCGCTGTAGCTAAGAAAGAGCTGGCCACTTCCGGTCTAGCCAAGCCCTGTAGATAGTAGAACCGCATGTCGTCCTCCGTAACTATGTCCGAGGATTCCTCCCCGTCTTCCTCTATTGACCCTTGTTGATTATCAGTGGATTCGTGTGGAAACCCAAGCATGCTAATAGGAGATGAGAGCTTCACTCCTCTCCAACGCATTATATATAAGAGATACCATGCACTAGAGACTAGGAGGATGCATCCTATCCCGGTTATAATCAACGTCTTACTTGTACGCTTAATGGCCCCCATGATTGCTTTTCAAAAGTATTGTTTAGATATAGCCAACGAGCCACTTATTGGGTAATGGTTAGTTAAATTAAAGGGGATAACAGGCTGCACCCCTATAGGAGCACACTTTGGTTTTACACACAACCATGGCAAGTGTCTGGTGGTACATAGCATAAGTTGTTGCACTATAGCTAATTCGTTAGTATAGAGTAAATGAAAGCCATTGCTAGCCTAGATTATCTCTGCTATCTTCAAAGCCAACCATTTGTCTTAATTTCACTTGTACCTATGCCGTGGGCTTCCCGATATGAGCACAAGATGCTTCTTTTTGTCATTTTTGAACTCATTGCTTCAGTTGGCTCGACTAGTCACAGTTTGAACTGCAGAATGTGGGCGTTAGTATTGGTTTGTGTGCATTTAAATATCCTGCTGGTAATTTCAGCCATTATGCCAATGCTCTATTTCTCCATACTGTCATTCAATATCAAGACAAGAATGCGTGCCTGGGCCAAAAGACAGATAGGTAGTTCGATGATGGCCAGATCAGTTACACTCATGCCAGACTTCAATGCTGATAAAATGCGACTGGTCAATGATTCATCTTTAGTAGAGTCACCTTGGTTGAAGCAGAAGCTCCTTTCCATAAGCACAGCATAGTATCTACGGCTCAAAAGTAAGAGGTATCTTTTATTGAGTAGGATGCATGGTTATAGCAAACTTGGTAAACTTGCTAGAAGAGCAAATTACATCAAAGTCATTAGCATGCTGGCGCATATATTCAGCTAACTCCTTCTTAGTGATACCTTGAATAGCAGTGTAGCATATCTCCTTAATGTTCACGTCAATATCAACGTGTCCCCAGTAAAAGCATCTGTTAATGGCAAAACCACGAAGGCTAAGGGCTATACTACTAACATTGCTTGCAACGGTTGATTTGTGCTTCAGGAACTCCTCAGCAGAAAGGCTAGTGATCTGATCACTTATGCTTTGAGCAAAAGCTCGCATGCGGGCCTCAACCAAACCTATGTCTTTTGTGCCTTGAATAGTCATGGTGAAATAGGCCTTGCCGTCCACTCCCCAATGTTCGCTATAAACATTATATCCAAACCCTTCTTTGGTTCGGAGCTGATCGAAGAAGACTCCATGCAGAATTTGGTAAAGCAATTGAGCCATCATATAATCTCTTATCCTGTCCGGCCTTGTGAATCTATGGATCAGCATAACCGCATTGTTGAGCTTGTCTACTGTTGGCAGTTCAACCCGTGCTGGATACAAGGTAGATTTGGGGTTCTGAGGTCGAGTGGTTGGTGTAACATGTTTCTTGACGATTTTAATGATACTATCGAACTCCGACTTGGTGGTGTTTCCAAACACAAAGATAGATATCTTGGCCTGGGTAATAGCGATTATATCCTCAAGCTTAATGTGTTTGGCAGCCCCAATGAGGTCGGTTGGGATAAAAGGCGGTGATTGGGTGTACAGTCTAAACCCCTCGCTTTGACAAAGATCGTGGGGCTGTGCGCACAAATTATCGTCAAACTCAATCGGAGCCAAAGTCTGGGTCATAACAAGATAGTCTTCGTGCGAAGCAGCAAAATCAACAAAGAAGAGATTAATGAGGTCTTGAATAACCAAAGGGTATCCTTGGAATGTTATGTAAAGCTTTCCGCTCCGAATATAGAGATCTGCTATATCTGTGTCGGAAAGCCTAGCCTTCTCGTAATGCCTAATCCTGAATCCCTTCAAATAGGCGGATATGTACCCGCGGAATGCCACATGCGCAGAAATGCTCTTGTCAATGTCCGGAGTCTCCAAAATGATATCTACTCGAGTCTTTTTGGTTGTGATGCCTTTGCAATAAGCCAAATGAGCTGTTAAGCCTTTCTCGGTATAGGAGATGGTGGGTGTATAGTTGTATGGCTCCGGAAAGGGGCAGAGAGTAGCATTTGTAATAAAGCTGCCGAACTTAGCTGAAAGCTGGTCGTTCTTTCTGGCCATGTCCAAATCAACTTCCTCAAAGATATAGTTGGTGCCCCACTCCATCTCCTGTGCAATTAAATCTGCTTTCTCATCTGTTTTGCCGGTCAGGTCTACTACCGCATATTCAATGCTGTAATAAGGCTCAGTCTGGAGAGGTGCACCGACTGGCATCTCGTTTGTTCGAACCGTCACTAACCATTTTGAGCGGTCTAATGCGATGCCAACAAAACGATCGAACTCCTTGGCATTGAAGGCTTCAAATTTGTACCGTAGAGAGAAAATGTCCTCTAAAGCCATCCACGGAAGCCACTTGGCAATGTGCAAAACCGTCTCTATCGCCGTCTTTGGACTGTACTCCTCCATTCTGTTTTGGAAGATCTGCTTATAAGTATTGTAAAGCTCCTGACCCGCCATTTCGCGAACCAACTCTAGTTTGGCCTGTATAAGATTGAGAATACTTTCAATCAACGGCTGCGCATTGGAATTAAACTCAACTCCGAGCGTTATCGAGTTTCCTGTAGGCTTCAGGTCGTCGACACACCAGCTGGATACAATTATGCCCTCTCTAATTAACGAGTTGAATCCACTTCGCTCCTTTTCTTCATCAAGCGCATTGCCTATAAATTCCACCGTTTTCTCTTTGTACGCATGGAATGTTTGTGGCAGTTGAATTTTAACCGATAGTTGGGATTTTTTAGTGTTGGGGTCAAGTGGTTTGTAGTATACTAGTTTGTTTTGCAAGTCAGGTCTGATCAAGTGGTGCGATGTATCGTTCTTGCTTGGCTTGGAAGGGGTGCTGCCCAGCAACTCGTATGGTGGATCGGAAAAGATCCACGGTTGGTCGGACTGGTCCTTGATTGCTGAGAAGTGCTCTCTGACGTAGCCTTCTAGGACATCGTGCGACTCTTTTCCATAGACTACTAACTGCATTCTGTCTGGCCGATAGTACTGTTTCCAAAAACAAAGCACGTGTTCTCGCTTGGTGTTTTTAAGGGTCTCTTTTGATCCTATTGTGAACTTCGATAGTAGGGACTCGGGCTTAGTCAGGTGTATGTTGAGCTGAAAGTATCGCAAATACTCATCGCCCAATCTTGCTTCCAGTTCGCTGTGCACAATCTTTATTTCGCTTTCCAGATATTGAGAATCAATTAGTGGGCATTTGAAAAACTCACTAAATATATCTAGTGATTGCTTAAGGTGATCAACTGCAACTTGGAAATGATATTCCGTGTACTCTTGGTACGTAAATGCGTTGCAATATCCACCGTGGTCCTGGATAAACTTTCTATAATGGTTGGCATCGGGATAAGTTTCGGTGCTCATGAGCAACATATGTTCTAAAAGATGGGCCATCCCAAGGTGTTCGGTGGGGGCATGCATGTCTCCAACTTGAACCTTTAAACAGGCCGCACCTTTTATAGCATTAGGGTTCGTGATTAAGACAACTTGGAGCTTATTGGGTAGAACGATGGTTTTGTAGCTGTTTTGATCAAGCGATCCTTGTAAATGAGTATAGACTTGACCGTCGCGAAATAGGATAGGCGTAGGTTTAGGCTTACTGTGTTGAGAACCATGGGAAGGTACCTCAAGAATAATCAGGCCAATGATTGGCAAAATCATTAGCAGTGCAAGCTTCGCTATCCCGATCATGTGTGTTCTGAGAAACAAAAGTCAGATATAAAGATAGCAAATTACTGTTTGTTTTTGTTTGTGTGCACAACAAAGAATGTATTAAATTTCCTAGATAAGATCAATTTTGAAAATATAGATATGGAATTTAGCAAGAAGTGCGGTGCATGAAAGCCCTCAGCATTCTTTAACTAACCTATGCTGAGTTTAGAAAACGTACAGTATTAAAAGACTATCTTTATTGTTCATCATCATCGGAGTTGTGATTTTTTATAAGATCTAGTATAATGCTTTGTTTCCTGATGCTGGAAAATCCGAGATCTGCAACTGCTTAGTAGCGAAGTCGCATGTATTGAAAGCAACAACAGAATTATAAAGAGTCATCTAGTTTTCTAATCTATTTTTAACAAAATCATATTTTTGAATTTCTTAAAGATCTTTATTACTCTTATCAATTTCCTGGCTAGATAATCCTGTGACCTCTATATATATTCAATGCGATTTGCAAAATCCATGACATTATCTCTG